TCAGGTAACACTAACAGAGGCCTCAAGGTCACTGGTAAGTGAAATAAAATTCACAGTAGAGACACAAATTTCCTCTCCACCACTGCCAAATAATAGGTCATGCAAGGTCAATATGCCAGGCACTTTTTTGTGACCAAACCAGTCATCACCTCTTTCAGTTGCCCAGGGGGTTTTAAAACTATTTCCCAAATCTCAAAAAATCAGCATTACTGAGGAGTAAACTACATTCTTCCTCCTTCTTGACCTCTGCTGCAACCTATTGCCATTATGCCTTCCCCCATCTTCACTGTTCCTCCTTTGCTCCCCTGTACCTCCTACCATACCTAAACTGTGAGCTGGAGAAGAGACTGGATTCCTCCCACTTAAATTCCCATGTAGCTGAGGCTGAACTGCCAAGTTGTCTTCTCTAACTACTGGCAACAAAGATGCTCTTCTAGAAGACAGTTTCTGCCTTAGAGGAGCCACTGTCTAGAAAAAACAGAATGAAACTGATTTTAATTTAGGTACTTCCCTCAGGTTGTTAGGCTGGGTAAGAAGTGCTCAATACTCTCTTCTTGCCTTGATTCTCAACCCAGAGGCAGCTACAGACAAAATTCTGTAGCCCCAGTTAGACTTATTCAGCATGGATGGAACCTGTGGTGCTACATAAGTTTCTCCTGAGCACGTACAAACTGGAATTCTCCAAATAGTTCATATCTAGATACAGGTGAGCTTATTTTCACAGCACCTTATTGTTGTCATCTTACTGCAGGGGTCCCATACTGTTGTCTCCTTATCAGAAACATTTCATACCTTCTTGGTGTTTCTCATGGGCACCTCCTCAGAGCACTGAGTCTTTCTTCTTCACAAAGCAGCCACTGACTCCAGGTCCCCTCTCAACCAGCCACCCCACTCTTTTAAAGCACTCTTCTTCTCATTGGTTACAGCTCTGGCCTGTTCCTAATCTTTGATAATTGGCCCAGCTGCAACTCCTTAGGGGTGAGATGACTTTCTACACTATCTTTATTTTCTTACATTCTATCCCCCTACACCTTTTCTGACTCAAGACTACCTGCCAGCAAATCGCAAGTCTCTCCTCTTACAACATGAGGGAATTAGGGCATCTGAAAGAACATGTCATCCAAATTTCAATCTTTTACTTTGAGTAAAACAAGGCATTTTTGACGCATGTCTTGGAAACAACATTCTGGCTGAAACTTTTACACATATAAAAATATTAACTAATGGAAGCACTTACTGAAAAAAGTTTAGTCCTAATGGTTAAAGTTTGGAAAAGTTGAGAAGAAGGTAAGCAAAGGCCATAATAGTGGAAAATTATAATGCAAATTAAAATCTTTTAATATGAAACAGTGCCACTAATTGCACCTGTGTTCACTGTCTCCAGATTTTGATTGCTTTATGTAGTTATTTGGACACACTTAAAAGCATCACTAGGCTGCAGTTAGGTTGTGCACTTTGGCTCTTTTTTCCAGTCTCCAAGTAAATATTCAGCCTCTGTAGATTTATCTGGTAACTTTTCCCAAATCACTATTTCTATAAACAAAATGCTCACTGACTTCAAAAGGGAGAAGATTAACACTTATGGGTCAACAGCACTGAGGAAAGCAGCTACACAACAAATACAGGCCATTGCCCAGAACAAAGACAATTAAAATCTCTTTCTGAAGGGACCTTAGAGTCACTGACCCTGAACCACTTGACATGACATTCCTGCATGCTCCATTTGGCCTTGTTCCTCCTCTGTCCCATGAGGCTCCTTCTTCACCATTACATAACCCTATCCTTCTTATCACACATTCCCACTATCCCAAATACCCTCAGCCCTACTCCTGGTACCCAACAGCAGCCTCATCTGTGCTCTCAAGCCCATTAAGGATTTCACAAGCTCTAAGATCCCTCAGCTACACAGAGAAAACAATTCTTGAAACATCCCAGGCTCGATTGGTCACGGGAACAGGTCAAGAGTTCATTCTTCCATATCACCTGATCACATGGCCAAAAATGAGAGCTTCACCACCTTCCTGAAATGGGAGAGACATACACCTGTGGGCAGATCTGCCCAGTACCTTCCTGACTGCTGACACCTAGAACTGCCTGCAGGGCTGACTACTCTCCTGCGGGGAATCTGGGGGAAATAGACCAAGAAGTGACAAGAACAATCAAAAAACATGGAACAACTTCTGAACAATAAACAATTACATAGGATACAACTCCTCAGGCTAGAAAACATGGACATGACATAAATTCATGAAATCCTTAATGACCTGGAGACTAGACAAACAACAGAAAAATACACTGGCAAACAAAGAGAAGGTGTCCAGAGAAAGAGGAAAGGAGAACAACAACCCCCCCCCCAACCTACCACAGGAATATTTTACAATCTATTGTTGCTTTTGCAACTGTGACTAATGTGAAAAGATGTTGTCACCTTATTGCAGAGCTCCACACCTTCTCAATGATTTCTCATGAGCAGCTCCTTGCAGCAGACTCCTTCTTCCTCACAGCACAGCCAACAAGCTCCAAACTCTCCTCACCCAGCTAACCCACTCTTTTGTGGCACTCTTCTTATTGGACACAGCTGTGGCCTATTAAGGGCAGGCCTGTTCCTAATCTTTGGTGATTAGTACAGCTGCAACTCCTCAGGTGTGAGATTACCTTCTGCACTATCTTTATTTTCTTACATTCTATCCCTCCACAAAAAGAAGTACAAGAAAATTACTCTTTATTCAGGAAAAAAATTACTTTCCACAGTTCTTGCTGATCCAGCATCCACACCTTGCTGCCCTCATGTTCAGACATGTGTAGATGCTTCTGGTCTGTGTGTTCAGCTGGGGTCCCAGCACATATTCTGGCACACCACCCACCACTATATTGGTGAAGTTTTGTGTCAATATGGCCTCAACTTGCCTGAGGTTTCTTCCTCTTTCTCCTGTCTTTGCCTCACCCAGGAACAGAAACATCTCCTCGGAAGTTCTCTACAAATAACAGTTTTCTGTGTCTAGTGCCACTGTCTGTCACTATTAAATAGGAAATACCTTCCCTTCCTGCACAGAGGGAATGTGCCTACTCTGTATGACCTTCTTTTACCTAAATGGCATTAAGGCATGGATCTTAGTAGGGGTGCAAGTGAACATTTGTGTCACAAGTAAGTTCTAGAGCAACTTCATAAACAGGCTGAGATGAGCTTTTGGCAGGGGGAGCAGCAATGGTTCTGCTGCTATCATTGCACAGAAAGCTCCACAAGTTTAGATAAATAGTAAATAATTAGGTTTAAACTGGAAAAAAAAAATCATGCCTAAGCAAGAGTGCATGAGAGCCCTGCTGAGATCAGGCTGCCCTGGGCCTTTTGACACAGTGTAATCTCAGAGGTTTGCAGCAAGCTGGCAATCTGAGGTGAGCTCTTGCCTAATTAGCAGATTTCTTGTTGTGTCTCAGTGGCTGCACTGCAGAGCTTGGCCACCCTCCACTAATTTGCAATATCTCAAGCTTTAAAACACTTTCTTTATTTCCAGTTCATTGGGGCCAGCTGGAAAAGCACCTGCCAAGCAGAGAACTCACTTGCAAAGGTTCAAATCCAAAATGAGGCCTGGGACTAAGCAGTTCTGCTCTATTGCCTCAATACTTCTTACACCTGGGCTTCTTACTACATGTGAGAGGTGAGCCAGGCAGAAACACATATTGCACCCTGCCTGTACAAATAACCATGGGCTAGCATCAGCATTTTTAATAGGTCTTGCTCCTGTAATTGCCTCACATTTTCACACTGCAAGGGACAGGCTGGTTACTCCATCTGTAGCAGGCACTGGGGTCTTCATTTTGTTGAAGTTTTTAGCATTTGGAAAGGCAGCACAATCCTCTGCTAAAACTTTACTACCACAAAGTGGGCAACAAAAGCAACACCCTGGGAGCTTCCCCAGCGACAGACCTCTGCCATAAGCCACAGCTGCAGTGCCCAGGGTCCAGGAGGGCAGAGGACAGGAGAAGCTGTCCACCAAATGTGATCCTGGCTGCAGGAAACAAAGACCCTGACATTGCCTACAGAGATGGGTGAATCTCAGGTTTCACAGTCCATAGCAGCACACTGGCATGGTAAAACGAGAGAGGGTTCATAAAGATTTGTGGCAGAAATATAAACACAGGTATGATTAAGATTGAAGCATGAATCAAAGTACCCGTGTAAACACCAAATGACACATGAGAACAAGATTTAAAGGAATGGCTTCTACAGAAAGTGCAGAACACTGTTCTCAGTCAAAGCAAGGAATGATTTGTTTCCATTTGTTTCCTGTGCTCTGACACCCAGGAGACCACAAGCAATGAAGCACAGGAGCTCCCCTCAGCCCAAAGAACACGGGTGCAGCTTACATTGCACTAACTTGCAAGGGAACCGATCTTTGTGTCTTGAGCTGAGGGGAACTTTTGTCATAATTTATGGAGATTTACCAGATGAACTGCGTCTCCTCATCTCCCTGTTCATTTTCTTCCTCTGTTGCCTGATTTCATCCCATGCCTACACGCCATTATCATGGATCTATGACAACTCAGCCTAGCTAAAACACAAGGCCGAAAGACTCTGCGGTACTTTTGCTGAGAGCACTCCTGCCCACAGCCCCTGAGGCAGGTGCAGGGCTGGGCCGGGCCAGCGCCGGGCGGCATCACCGCTCGCCACCCATCGCGCACCTCAGCGCCGTGACGCGAAGAACTACATCTCCCGTCACGCTTCACTCAACTCACGCACACCGCCTGGGCGCGGCCGCGCGTTGCACCGCGGGAGTTGTAGTCCATGTTGGCGGCGCCGCGGAAGTGACTCGGCGGTGCCGGGGTGAGCGGGGGCGTGTTGACTTTCCGGGGACGGCGCTCATGGAGGCTCGGGAGTAGCGAGGCGTCTGAGGGGGTTCGCCGGCCGCCGCCATGTTCGGCTGCCTGGTGGCGGGCAGGCTGGTGAGCGCTGCCCGGGCCCGGGCGGGGCCCTCAACCCGCTCGGGGGCGGGGTGGAGCTGCCGCAGGGCCCTGGGCCCCCCGGCCCCAGGCAGGGGCCCCGCCTGCCTGGCGCTCGGCTGGCTCCTGCCCCGCGTCCCCGCAGGCGGCTGCCTTGTCGAGCGTCCTTGCCGGGAGGCGCTTGCCATCCCCCTGGCAGTGTTGTCTCCTCAGAGACAAGCTGGGAGCTTAAAAGAAGCTTTTTAAGGCTAGATTGTGCCTTGGCTGCAAGGATGTGGCATCTCGGGTAAAGAGGAGGGTATCTTTTGCTCTGGCATTCATTCAGCCATCCTTCTGCTGCCTTTCTCAAGGTCTATTGTATTTCCTATGTGAACAGGTTTCCATGATCCTGGGGTTGTGCCAGCCAGGTGGTCAACAGCCACTTCTTAGTGACTTGGCAACCTCTTCTGCACCCTACTTTCCTCCTACGCACATGGGGAGCGAAGGTATTCTGATCCTGTAGTCCCGGGTGGGATATGTGTTCAGTGCAGGTAGAACAAGACTGTTGTGTCTTTCTGGTAATATTTTTTGCAGTTGTTCTTCTGCTGTGTTTGACTTTTATCTGGCTATTTGCTCTTTAGGCTAGTACGTTCCTCACTTTTTGTTATGTACCACTTTAGGTGTATTTCTGTAAAAGGAAATTCGCAGACAGATGAAGATGAGAAACATGTTAATACTAATAAAGGTTTTGTTCTCTTTAGGTGCAAGCTGCGCCCCAACAAGTGGCTGAAGACAAATTTGTATTTGATTTACCAGACTATGAAAACATCAACCATGTAGTGGTCTTCATGCTGGGAACTATACCTTTTCCAGATGGAATGGGAGGATCTGTCTATTTTTGTTACCCAGACCAGAGTGGGATGGCAGTGTGGCAGCTGCTGGGGTTTGTCACTAATGAGAAGCCAAGTGCCATCTTCAAAATTTCTGGTCTCAAATCCGGTAAGACTGGTAGAACATAGCAGTCGCTGCAACAGATGCATTCCTGAATGCATAAGGGATAAACGTGTGAAGGTTGCTGTGAACAAAAAGCTACTTAAAAAGGCAGCACACTCTGTGTTTTCAGATAGTGTTGAGCAGATGTACTAAAAGCAGCCTGTGATCTTCGTGGAAGTCTGTCTGTGTGTTACTGTTCCTTGTGAAGTTGCTGTCTCATCTGCTCTTGTGTGTGGTGTTGATCTGGAAATTCTTCTAAGCAAACTTGATGTGTTTTTGTCTTCTGCATAGAGGAAAAATGACCTTGTAACTTCCCTGCCATGTTTTTAGGTGTTTGTCTAGACATGCCAGCAGCATCTTCTTTCAGCTTCCTCTGCTAAGTGGTTGTATTCTTTGTAGCACAGACAGATTTTGCAGGGAGTGGAGCCTGGCAGTGATTTCTGACAGCTGGCCCTACCCAGCCAGGGGCAGTTGCTCTATAGAACTGGCCAATAGAGGGTGTCCCCATTGGAAAGCAGCTTTCCAAATGTTTTAGTACTTCTGACACACTGAGTAGAGTGTGTGTGTGTCTGTGTGTGCATGTGTTTTCCTAAGTACAAGAGGTGTGCTGTGTGCATGATAAAAATGATGAGACATTCCAATGGCACACCTGTGTTGTATGAAAGGGACAGCTACATCAGTCAAGCAGCTTAAAGTGTTACAGTGATTAAGTAGTACAAAGCTTTTGTAGGTTTGGATGTAGTCTACATCTTTAACTCAAATTTCTGTTGAATTAAGCTATGAGGTTGCTCTGCTAAAATGCATTCATTCATAACATGGCATTCTTTGTTTTGGGTCAGTCCTGGATGTGGCAGTATGGTTGAGATAAGGGCTTTCAAGCTGCAAAGCAAAATGAATTCTGATCATACACATTCCTCAGAAATTTGGGCTTTCTTCAGAAGAGGGAGCACCTTCCAGAAGGGTTTGGGGGGATGTGGTTTTGTGTATCCCAAAGCTGTGTGCTTAGTGCAACAGTAAAGCATATCACCAGTGCTTTTGGTGTATATTTCTTGTGCTTGAAAGACTCACTGGTGTGTGGTCTCGGACAGTTTTGGAGGAAAATGCATTTTCAGATGCTTTTTGCATGATGAGCTGTAATTTCCTGGTAAGGGCTGCTCTCAAGGAAGAACTCAGTGACATAGCTGAACACATTTGCAGTGCCTTGAGGCACTGCTGTGCTTGATTTGAGCAGCAGAGAGCTCTGCCATTTGCATTGTCTGCAGCTTAGCTCTGAGTGTGGACTCAGTCTAAGCTACACAATCTACGTTTCCATGGTCATAAACAATTTTAAGGTGTAGAAGACTACATAACAGAGAGCTGGAATCATTGAGAGACATTACTGCTGCTTGAACTCTGCATTTTGGGTTTAATACCAGGTTGAGAGGACCAAAGATGTGTCCCTGTCAGTTCCCTGGGAAGCAGTAGTTGTAGCAGAGTTTCATTTGTTTACATGTAAAGAAGGGGCTTAGAAATGCTCCCTGCCTTGGAATTGAAAGGCTTTTATGTTATGAAGGTGTGGTAGAAATAGAAAACAAACTTTGGGCTTGTATTTTGCACCCTTATGGGAGTAGGTTCCCAAGTGGGGTAAGAGTTACAGCAGAGGCTTTTCTGTACAGACTTTTCTGCTGCCATGCTGTTTATGCTCTAATATCATGTCGGCATTTGAAGCCTACACATGGGTAAGGGTTTTGTTGTGGCTGGGCTGAAAGGTAAAGGGCTCAATCATTGAATTAAGGGTTCAGTGAAGGGAAAGAAATGGGTGGAAAAATACTTTTCTGATAGCAGTTTCTCTGCAGTGATGTAATGTGTTGGAGAGTGTAGGGTCTGAATACAAAAAACTGAGCTTGTATTTTAGTACTGATTAACATTCTCTGCCTTTATAAGGTTTGGAATGCTAATTGCAAGAGCCAAGCATGGAAAATGTGGAGTGTATTTCTCCTGGTGTAAGGATGGCAATGGATGCTTTTATTTCACACTTTTAGGCAGACATCTTTCCAAGGCCATGGTTCTGTGGGAGTCCATGTAAAGTGAATGGAATGGATGTGTTTGATTGTTTGTATCATGACTGTCTAAAGTAATCATACATTGTAACAGAGCCTGTTGCTTGAAGATATTACATTTTTATTGAAATATCAGTTTCTCAGGTGAAGATGTTACAAGATGCAAAACTTGTACCAGTTCTGTTGCTGTTGGCATTTTAATAATGAACTTGATACTTGGTTTCTGACAGCTTGTATCAAGCAAGCATCCAACAACAGCAAATATGAGATGAAACAGCAATAAAATGGTGTTTCTCAGAAGAGGTTCTAAGTAGCATTTCAGGAGATGAACTCTTTTCTTACTTAGCTTGTGTCAAAGTAACATTTTAATAGGAGTGCTTTACTCATAAGGTAGCACTGTATTGCAGCTGTAGGATCTTGACTAAGGAGCAACACTTCAATTGAAAAGGGTGCTGAGTTTGTGAGTGCACTTTCTGTAGGGGTTGGCTGTTTGCTTCTTTGTGCCTTGTGTCTCTGCAGAGGAATAGTCAAGTTCCTGAGGTCTTCAGTCCTGATCTCAGTTCAACTTGTCAGACCGTTTTTGCTGCCTGAGTTTTTGACTAAGTGAGATGGTGCTTTTAATCTCCATTAGCCTTTCTGGCAGCTCAAGATAGTGCTGCTCTGCAGGACAGCTCTTGATTTAGCTTCGCTTTCTCCTGCTACTAAGAGGCCAGAGAGTGCTGCTGAAACATTGCCTCTGTGTTAAGAGTGTACTTGACTATTGTGTTCCCACAAACACAGGTGCAGTATTAGTGTTTGCTTACTGATAGCACTCTGGTCCCACAGGCCTTTTCCTGCATTTTCCTTTAGAGATGCTGACAGAAGAGTACATGATTTAAGTGATGCTGAGTGTCTGTCCTTGTTTGCAGAGACCTTGGCAGAAGCTGGGACTGAAAGTATGGGTTGAGAAAGGTCAGAAGTGAGGGCAGAGGGCTGGGATGGTGCCTGTGTTTGTGGCATGCAGTTTGGGGATGGTTCCGTGTTTTCTTTGTGGCACTTGCTAAGTCAGAGACCTCTCTGTTCCATGACTATTTCTTTGACCTTTGCTGCTTTTGGTGGGTTTTAGCAGTACCTGGGGCTGCCCAGCCTTCCCTGAGTCAGAGGGATCATAAACCAGTACTCACTACTTTTGCAGAGCAGGTTCAGTAGAATGTGGCTTTAATGAGTGAATCAAACTGCAGCAGTGATGCATCTTTCTTGTTTATCTGCAATTGCCCAAATGTGAATTAAAAACTTGGCTCCTGTAGAAAAAGGTTCTGCTGTCTTTCACTCACTGATCATATTCCCTCTTTCCGTTTACTTCAGAGGGAGCTGTAAAGTCATGTTTTTTCTGGTTTTTAAAAATTTCCTAATGATCTGTTGTGCTTTTTAAATGTACCAGTCACACTGTTCTATCTGTTGTACTTGTGTGTACTTTTGCCTGTGCTTGGACTGTGATTTTTCTGCATTTCCTGGGACAGGGAGATCCCTCTGGTGGGAGCTGGGGAATGCCTTCTATGGGAGAAACACAGTGGTTGAAGTTACACAGCCTTTACGTGTGTGCCAGACCTAACGTGTGCTGTTCGTGGTGCTTTCAGGGAAGGGAAGTCAACACCCCTTTGGTGCCATGAACCTCCCACAGACACCAACAGTGGCTCAGATTGGAATCTCAGTGGAACTGCTGGAGAACCTGGCCCAGCAGACTCCTGTTGCAAGTGCTGCTGTGTCATCAGTAGATTCATTCACAGAGGTAGCCTGGACTTTCCGTTTTCAGAAATTCTCCTTCTGTGGAAGTCTCAAGAATTGAGCCTCTGAAACACTAATTGGGGAGTGGGTAGGGGATGCTGCTGGGGGTGGCAGTAGGATTGTAAGCAACCTAATAATTGTCAAATCATTTGGTTGGGTGCCTTGATACTATGAAATTGCTTTTTCTTACACTGAAAAACTGTCTTCTGTAGAAGACTGGAATTTTCATCCTCAGTGACATAAGGCCAAGAGATTCACTTGTGTCAGTGTCACTCTATTCTAAAATTATTTATATACTTCTTATAGGAGCAGCTATGACTAAATACACGTAAGAGAGAGTGGATCTTTGGTGATTTGTGGGTGCTGAAACTTCAGTACTTAGACTTGCAGGAATGGTCAAAAATTACTCACAAGTTAAGGCAAATGTGGGCATGGATGCAGAGAGATATTCAGGTGTACCACTTTCCCTGGAGAAATCCTTCTGATGTTGCTCTGCAGAACTACAGAATTATGCCCTTTCCCACAGAATGGGTTTTTTTTTGTTTTTCCCCACTGCCTTCTCTGTGGATTGGATGTGCCATTTTTTAACCCAGCCTGTCCATTAGTTTGAACCTCTGGAAATCCTCAACCAGCTCTGGCAGTTAGTTGGCAGTCTGAGAGCAGTCCCAGGCAAGCTAGACCTGCATAGTGGGTCTTGATTTCCCTAACACTGATGGCTCTGGCATTTTCTTTCAGCATTTCAGCAGTTGCTGAGGCTTTTCTTCAGGCCTTTTTTTACCTTCTCACTTTCCTTCCAGGTGCTTGCTGAGACTGGTAATTGTACAGTAATTGCACAGTAATCCTGATACTGTAGCTGATGTTCTTTGGCAGTTTATACACATTGTAGCTCCAAATAGGTAATGTTTCTTGCAGAAAGTTACCATGATTAGGAGTTGACCAACAGCTGTCTTTGTATAGTACAGTTAATTGAGCTTTTCTGGAGTTGTTAGGGCCTAATGACACCTAAATAATATTTCTGATTCCACAAATATTTATTACAGCAGTAATTAAAGTTAGGAGGAATAATGTGCCACATCAGGTCATTTGCAAGGTGGCTCATGGATTTTTCTGGCAGTAGTATTTAAAGAAAAAGAACCACCTCATGACTGCATAACATTTTTACAAATGTTATTCTCAGTTAAGTGAATTTTTCTGTTGAAAAAGAGCAACATCCAACTCTGAGCATCTTAACTGAAATTGTAATTGCCTTCAAGGAATGCAGTTGACCCAAAGGGTGAAGTACTGCTTACTCCTACAAAGAAAATGTGTGAGGTCAAAGTGGAAGGAAACCTTTGCAGGAGTAGATTGCAGAGGAAGGGCATATATGACTGGGAGCATATTTGTGGATAATGAATAGCTTTCATTTAATATTTGACATCAGCTCTTTGGAACTGCTACATTATAGCAATAAAAGTGTTTTTTTAATGGCAAAATCATCTGTTGCTACCCAAAGTTATGGAGTTGATCTCCTATTACATTTTTAGTAAGATTTATGAAGATTTATATGATTGAATATGTCTTTTTTATGTGTATAAACATATATAAAAAAGAAGTAGGACAAAACCATTGAGTTCTGCATGTGAGTGAGGGTAGGGTTCTGGGATATGATTTCTTCTGCTCTTTTTGTCAGAAGGGAGCACAAGACTGCATTTATTAACTCAGGCTCTGTTTTGTTTTCTTGTATCATTTCACTGTCTGAAATTTTCTATATGATCAAAGCAAAGCATAACTTTTTTTTCCTTTTTTTTTAATAGAGGAAATAAGGAGGTACTGTATACTTGTATATTTGTAGGCTTGCTGGGAATGTCCTACACCCTTATCCTCTGCACACGGGGCTTACTATTCCTTAGCCTCTCTTTCACTCTTTTCTTTCCTAGTCCTACAGTTTAGGAGTGCCCTGTGCATCCTTTAGGTGCTTTCCCCACAAGATCTTGTGGTAAAAGATGCCAGGACAGCAGCCCTTCTGTGGGAAATGCTAAAGGAAATTGCCCTGTCCCTGGAGTCTGATGTGCTGGAAATAGATTGCAGCCTTTTCCAATAGTTTAACAGGTGTTTTTCTGGGAGCTGGAATGGCAGCTTTGGCCCAGTCTGGAGCTCTTCTGATTATTCGGTTTGGAGGAGAGGGACAGCTCTTGTCACTGCATCACTTTGTCACACAAACAGAAAATGTTCTTCCCAAAGCTGTTTGTCCAGTTGGATGAAACTGAGCAGGGAGAGGGCAAGTGAAGATTCTTCAAATGATTTCTGGATGCCAGATGGATCTGAGGGCAAGACTGAAGCTTAGGATGTTTGATCATTGTCTGTGGACCTACTACATCCACTTTCCCACTGTGTTTTAGATGACAGTGATGAAGTAACGACAAAATTACTTCATGTAGGAGCTGTATATCTTAAACTTTCGCACAAAAATTCAAATTGAAGAAAGAACTTCCTTAAAATATCTCTTCTTTTTTTTTCAGTTCACTCAGAAGATGTTGGATAACTTCTATAACTTTGCTTCCTCGTTTGCTGTCACTCAGGCACAGATGACCCCGAATCCTTCTGAAGCTTTCATTCCTGCAAATGTAGTTCTGAAATGGTAATGGCAGTGATCTCTAGTAACAAATGAGTTTTTTTTCTAGGCATTAGACCATCATTTCTAAGCACTGAACTATTGTCATGCTATTCAGTGAGATGATGCAGAAGTGTTTAAAATTGTTGTTGTTTATTGCTAGTATAGAGAGGTCCTGCCCACTGTTTTTATATTTATTTGTCAGCTTTTTTTTTTTTGTTAGAAAAGTGCTATGCAACCAATGAAACTTTTTTGGTTCTAAAAGGGTTGCTTTTAACATATGTGCATTTGCACTGTGTTGCTGATAATGCAAATGCTCTGGAGCTGTGGGAAGACAGAGCACACTGATACTTGTCAATTTATGCTTATTTGTTTTATTTGGTCTCTTCCTAGACATAGTTCCAGCATAGCTGCCTTACTTAAGAATATGTGAGAGGTGATGAAATCATGTTAGTAGTTGACCTGGTTCTGTCACCAAGATCCTTGAGTGTAAATACAAACTCTCCTTCTGGGAGCTGTTTTCCAGGGACTAGTTTAATAACTGTCTGGGGATAGCCTGTGTAGTCTGGAGATAAATTGTGAACGGCAGGCAATACTTTAGGTTATCTGAAAATGTCTTTCCTATCAGTTTGGCCTTATTTATTTAGCCTCTGCAGTATTAACCTAAGCCCTTTTTTAATCACTGTTTGAGACTATCTGAATACAGTTTTATCATTGGTAAGATCTCATGAATATGCAAGCAGTTGATGAGAGCCCTGTGTATTGTTTGGGAGTGTAATTTGATGCAGATGCCTTGTGTTTAGAAGGTAACTACAAACTCCATGAACTGTATGTGGGTAGGGTCTCTGATGTGACTGGTGAGTGCCTGGGTGAGGCTGAATTGGTTTAAAACCCTTCAGTCTTTTCTCACTTAAACTGGGCTATGAACTATGAGGTATAGGAGAACATTTTGTGGTTTCCTTTATTTCATTGGCAGTATCTTTTGATTCCTTAGATTTTGGGTTTGTGAGGATTAAAAGGGGGGTTTTAACTTTTGTGGCTCAAAGCCTATACGCTTCTCTATTTTTTTCTTGTAGAAAGGCACAGAAATTGTATATTTTGTCCGTTTCTTCACTGTGTGTCAACAGTGAATTCTGATGCTGTTTGTTTATGGTTTGCTTGGTTTTGTGAGTATGAAAATTGAAATTAGGACAGCATGTGTGCATACATGTTTGCCTTATATGTTAGAGAATTACATTTCCCTATTTGATTTTACTAAAACATTACCATCCAGCCTCAGATTCATACATTCATTCATGATTTCCTAGCCCAAAAATGCTGTGCATAAAACAGTCACTTATAATTCATGGACTTGTTTAGGTTGGAACAGACCTTTAAGATGGAGTCCAACCATTCACCTCCTGCTGCCAAGTGCACCACAAACCCAGGGCTGATAAAACATGTCCACGTGTCTTTTAACACCACCAAGGACGGTGGCTCCACCACTTCCAGTGCTTGACAACCCCTTCAGTGAAGAAAATTTTCCTCTTGTCAAATCTAAATTAACTTACAATTTTACTAAGCTTGAATGAGTCTCCTCTGGGATACTGCTTTAATGAAATTCATCTTGGTGAAATACACGAGTCTAACTGCAAATATTCTAGATATGCAAATGGACTTGTGATTTCCTGGTGTGAAGTAGATGTAGTTTATCATGTTCTCTGCATAGACTAAATTATTTGTACCCTTTTTTAAAAACACAATTTTATATGCAGGAGCTGTTATTTTTTTGTTGTTTTTTTAATTTTTCTAGGTATGAAAACTTCCAGAGACGTCTGACACAGAACCCTCTCTTCTGGAAAACATAAGCTTAAATTCTGTCATTTGGGGTTCTTTCTAAAGTGTTACCTGAAAGATGCATCAAGTAACTCTACTGAAGATTTTCGTGGGGGAGGAAGGCAAAAACCCAAACAACGATTAGTCTAAATAGACAAACTAGTAACTTTTATATTACTCTTGAACAGTATTTAAAATTAAAATTGATGAAAATTACTAGTCTGCATGTTGGTTTATTTAATTGAAGTGCTTGGCTGCATCAAGAAATCAGTGTTCCATGTAGAAATACTTCTTTGAAATTGCATTTAAAGTGGAAAAAATTACAAGTTAAAAAATGGCAGCACTGTGTCATACTTGTGTGGTGCTTTGGGGTGTTGTACACAAACTGAATGCAGATTTTTCCTTCTTTACCTCATTTGAAGGGTAACCAAGCAACTGTGAATATGCTGATGGTTTTCCTGCTGGTACTTGCACTGGAAGTTCTTCCATTTTGTGGACAACCAATATTCTTGTCCCAGCTCATATAAATGGTACAGCAGTATTTCCCTCTTAGGCAGTAAGACACTATGGAGCTTAATCTTGGAGTACCTATCTTTAACTTTTCCTGTATGAAAATGTAATGAAGAGGAATCTTTGGGAACTTTGGCTGTGCTAGAATTATTCCCAGTAATAAGAGAGTAAAATCTTGTTTCTCTTAGAAACAGATGTGGGGTGTCTGATAAGGCTGTCACATTTGTTCATAAAGCCATAGGATTTTGGTGTGGTCTGAGTGGTTCTCATGACCAGTGCAGGTTCTGCTGGTGCCACACGTACCTAGGTAACTCATAGGTAAGGTCCAGCTGGCCCTTCTGTTCACTAGATTAGCTTGATCAGAAATACTATTTTGAGCAACATATCTTGCTTTTGTAAGTTACTTTCTGTAACCAAGGAATAAGATTTCTTCCCAAACCACTGGCATGAAAATAAAAGTTTTTACTGGTTTCATTGACTGGGGAATGAAGCCTTTAAGGAATCCTTTATCAAGTCAAGTCAGCCTTAGGTACACTTATCCTGAGAACAGAAACTCAGTCCTTCGAACGTGCCCAGTGACATCCTGTGTCATTTCTGCCTCAGCTTAAAATGGACTCTTCCCTTGCATAAAAGCAGAAGGACTCGAGGAATAAAAGGACTGAGCTCAACCCAGAAGAGGAGGAAAACTCCTGACTGATGAAACCCAGGAAAGCTGTTGTAAGCTTTTGAAAAGTAAAACTAATTCTCCCCCAGGTAATTTACGGGACAAAGCTCAGGGTTATTTCCTAGAAGCCATGGCACAGATGCAAGACCTGAAAAATTTGGGCTGCCTGCTTGACTCAAGCCTGAATTTTCTTAAAGACACAGTTGTAGGCCAAATGTCTGTAGAGAAGCAGCAACAAGGGAACTTAGCAGAGGCCCAGGCTGAACTCCCTCATCAGAATGGGTCATTGAGATTATTCTGTGTCCCCTGTCAAATTCTGCTGTAGGATGTGGTAGTTTTGTCACACAGGTGGCAGATGCCTCACATAGCTGGTGATAGAAGTGGATCAGACAAAACAAGAGGAACCAAATGGAAGTTGGGAGTGGTCATTGCTCAGCTTCTCACACTTTTAAGGAAGGATCTGGCTGGTGTGGAAATAAGTAATTAACACTTCACAAGCCATTGCAAGGCATCAGGAGTTAGGGAATATGTGTCTACATGATGTAGCAGACTCACTTCATCAGCACAATTTAATTACCAAAGGAGTGATTTATTTGTAAGAAAAAGAGGTACTAGCTACAACTTCACCTGACTGGCCAGAGCTGCCCTCTATGAAATAATCCTCATGTCACTACTCCTTGTTGCAATTTTCTATGGCCCTCACTGTCATGGTTTGGTGAAGAGCAAGTCACAAAATGAATGGTATTTAAACCCAAGGGCCCTGTTTGGGCACAGGCTGTCACTCTGCTGCTCACTCTTCTCTCTACTAGTTATAACAAGCTACTTCTGTTCTGACCAAAGCTGCATTCTGGTTATTCCAGATGCTGGTGGGATTGTTGTTTGGGCTTCAGGAAGCCAGACAGGCCAGACTAGACCATGTGGGTGGGGTCATTAAGTCCAGCATGAGTCCTGTGGCTGCTCTTACCCCTGTTCCAGTCATTAGGGCTGTAAATGAAAGTATGTATTTATATGGGGTTTGAATAATTCAATAGTATAGGTTAAGAACTTCTCCCAGTGCTATAGCCACTGTGGGTTCAGCAGGTGTCTCTGAGCTCACTGAATGTAGCACATGCTTGAGAGCATCAGTGTAAATTACTTTTCTTTCCTGCTGTGATTGAGCTTACAGAATAGAAACTCACAGAGGGAACAGCCTATCCCCCTTCAGTATCAGTATTTTGCCTTTCACAGCTGCTATGAAAGTAAGAACTGATTCATTCATACAGTTGTGTGGATGGCCAGACTGTGCTTGTCAAGCATAAGTGCTTTTTCTTTCTCAGCTTTGAAGCGTAGGATTATGGTGGGTGAGTTTCACTAGCTCTGTGAGATCCTATCATATGATCACTAGTTAGGATGCTTGAGGAAATAGGCATTCAGTTTGTCTAAGGAAATTTAATTTAGGAAACCCCAGGGTCTTCTAACCTGTCTCCCAACAATGCTTATCTCAACATTGTGATATTAAAATGGAAGAACAGGATTATAGGAAAAAGATCTGAGGAGAAACAAAGATACATACATTCATCTATTTTGCCTTTAACATATTTTTTATATACATATATATATATATATATATATATACCCATATATACACATTTACTTTTTTTTCTCCACACACAAAACACTAAAATTCCTTTCCCCAGGTATAGCCAGAGGTATAATGCCTGTAATAGTAACAACCTCAATGTAATACAAATTATTTTGTAATGATCCTCCTACATTTAGAGTAATTTTCCTATTCCCACTTTCTAGATACTAGGGAGTTCAAGTCTTAAAGAAAACATGTAAAAAAAAAAATACTGTCTACTGATCGTTAGGCTTTGAGGCTAAACCTACCCTTCCATGCCACACTCATAACCATGACAGGGGTAGATATATTTCCCTCCATTTTGGGACATTTTCCCAATTGTTTTCCTTTCCAAGGCAACAGGAATTGTTAGTTAGAGTGGGGATTCTTGTCACAAAGGCCCTACCAGTTTCTACATCTGCCCTCACCACCATGCCCAGAGAAGAATTTAAAAATACAGGAAGCAATAAAGAGCATATATTGCTGCTGGCTTATACAGAAACAGGTGCAAAATTCATAGCAAGGAGTCAAAATTCTAATTATGCACAGGATTTGTTTATTTGTTTTCTAAAAGTTGCTTCATTTGTTCATTGTAAATATTTTTCTGACACAGCTCATGGTGACAGCAAAGCATTCTCAGGTGAACCTAACTGTGTCTGTAGCACCTGCAGAGGAAGTTAATTCTTTGACTTTTAGCCATGGAACCAGAGCTCCCCAATACAATCAGTGGTGAAACATAAGCATGAAATGCACCAGAGAAAACAAGCACTCCTACCTATACTAGGAAGGGCAAATTCGATCCATATTGACATGAAATTTTTTTGGCTTAACATTAAAAGCCTCAAGAAGAACCTGATTTAAAACTGCATCGTGGTAACGTTCTTTATTCATTCACCACCAGATGGAGCATCACCCCAAGAAACAGAACCATACTCTGAGAAGAGAGACCTTTTAAGTGAACCACTGATTTAACAATCAGGAATCTGTTTTCTATTTCTGCTTCCAACTGTGGTGCAAACGTTCTTGTTGTCTGTGGGGAAAGTCTCTGCCTAAAAGTTAGAACTGTAGTCCAAGCCTACCATTTATGCAATTTCTAAGTGTCTAAAAGTTGGTAGAATGAGATGGGCTGCCAGATACCTCTACTCTTCAGCTTTTTTTTTATCTCTTCAGGGAAATACTCAGTGTGCAATAACTGAGGGAATCAGCAACCTTCAAATTTTAGTATGCTCTTCATACAAAATTCATGAAGAAAAGACCTCAATAACAACACTTGCAGCCTCAGAAAGAGTTTTCTGACTGTTTTGACTGTACTGCAGTTACTCATCAGCCTGACTTTACCTCTCCCTCACCTGTCTTGAGATGGGAACAGAAGGAGTCAATTAAAGAATTTGCCAAAGAACAGACCTAAAGGTGGCCTCAAGACACTGGAGTAAACTACATGTTCTTTCAGGCTACTTTTGGTAGGTTTCTCCAATACTAGGGTTAAACCACACTTCTATTGCTGAAAAATTTAGGCACTGGTGCTCTTAAAGTAAGTTTCACAAAAGTATACATTAAAAGGTTAAAAAGTTTTTGAAAATATTAAAGTCTTCTTTAAATTCTTTTGCAATGATTATAACTCTAATAGCTCTGTACCTTCCAGAAGACACACAATAATTTTAATCTTTCTCCTTTTTTTAGTCTAGAAGTAGGCAACTGTAGGAAGAAAACACTCTAATGAAATAAACACCTAAGTTTTATATCCATTTGAGCTTTATCAGTCTGCTTGTTGACAGAGACTTTTCTCCCTTGTTGTCTATTTTCAAAATACTATTAATTCTACATGCAGATGGGGCTGACTGTTGTAAAGAATTTTTTCTCCCCGTGGCACGTTACAGCTTTACTTACACAAGTACTTCCCTTCATTATCCAATTTCAGCTCCATCCAGGTTTCTCAGGGCAAAGCTCCTGGAACATTTGTCTGCATTTTAAGAGGACAGTCTTCAGCACATTCCTAAGTTAATACAAAAGTTAAAGCTGACCCTAACTTTGTTAGGCCTCTTTCCAGTCAAGCACCACCCTTCCTTTCCTTCCTCTCCAACAGAGCAGCTCATTTGTCAGAATGTACCACTTATGTCCCAAAACATCCATGGCTGAGAAATCCTTACTGCTTTTGTATCCCAATTCACTCTCAGCCCCTGCCATGGGAAAACACAGAAGATGGTCTAATGCCATGCTACTGTAAAGCATTTGTAAAGGCTAAGTGGCACCAGCCTCCAACCCAAGTGTTCCTAGTACAGCTAATTCAATCAAAGCTCTTTCCTTGAGGCTGCAGGAAGCCTGAGCACTCCCACTGCCTTTCTGGAGTGCTCTCCCAACCACACCCCAGCCCCATAATTTTTCACTCTGCCAACCCCTCATACTTTCCACAGCATGATCTATGATGTCTATGGACCACTGC